TCAGCAGGATTCAGTCCATGCTTTTCGAGATTTTTTTTTCTAAATTAAATCTATTTTTCTATATGATATTTAAATTTTTTAAAATAAGTTAGAAACATTGTGGATGCTCTAGCTTTTAAAAATAAAAGTTAAAAAAGAGAAAAGTTTGAACGGCATGTAAATAAATATTGAATAATAGTGTGAAAAAGTAACGTAAACAACACATTGTTATTTTCTTTTTCTTTTTCCTCATTCTTTTCCCCAACTACACGATGTTTAAAGATACATTCATTGAGTTTAATAGGCTTCATATTTTGGGGGGCGGCCTATAAATGAGAGCTTTTTATTAACACTCGTTTACTACTAACACATATACATTGCTTGAATATTATTATTTAACATATTATTTATATGCATTTAATGCTTTTTTTAATAGAAATTATATAGAAACCACATGCAAAATTACAAACTAGACATCTCAAAGCTGAATGAGCCAATTAAAAAGCAGAATAAAATGAGAGGACAAATTCGAAAATCGCCAAAAATCTAAGCTATAACGAAAACTAGCCTACTCACCCACAAGCTAAAACAAAAACTACCAAACTCAAATAATGTAGAATAAAGACTCCCACACGGGGAGACTACACGCTCCCAAATGGGAGAAAACACAAAATACATACATATACTACACAAACAAAAACAAAGAAAAAATAGACTAATACAAGACTAATATTAATATTATAAATTAATTATAGTATTAAATATATAAGTTATATATATAATATTATTATAAATTAATAATATTATCACATTTTAAGTGTTTGTCATTAATTGATTCCATAAAATGTAATGTACTTTTTGTAGTTTTGAGGTATCTTACGAATGAATTTGCTAAAAAATATTAAATTCATAATTGCATATATTTATGCAATTTTAAAGGGTATTACTATGCCGTTAAAATTAATAAGTTTTTTTAATCTCTTAATTAAATGCAATATATATACATATATACATATATATATATATTGAGTTTAAAATAAATAGTTTGAATAAAAAATTTTGTAATATAATCTTTTATATTTACGTAACTTCTATATACCATTTAATGTGAAATATAATTAATTTTTTTAATAATAACTATTATATGATATAATACTTAGAAAATATAATTATTATTTAACTAATCTAAAATATAACAATTTATAATCATAGTTATTCGAAATAAATGGGTGGAAAAATAAAAATAAAATGTCATTAATTGTTTACGTGTATATATATATATAGGGAATGGTTCAGATGCGCCCCGTTTTTAAAAGTGAGGACGTGAGACCTGATCTGGTCCGTTCATCACTCATCTAATCTAACGTTCAGAATTAATTTAGTACATTAATCAATATTTTTCTGATTTCGCGGGCGGTACGTCTTCAGAACTCTCTACTCTACTTTCCCTCTCCATTTTCGCACTTGCTCGTTGTTTCTGTTCCATTCTCTTCCATTTTCGATTTCGATTTCGATTTCTCGGGCGTTACTATCTGTTTCCGTTTTATCCTTCGTAGTCTATTCTCGCAGATTCTCGTCTTAAATTGGTGAGTATTTTTGCTGTTGTGTTTGTTTGTAATAACTTTTTCGATTTAGCTGTCTGATACTGCAAGGTTAGTGTATAATGTTGCTAGGTTATTTATATTTGCTGCTAGGTTAGTTGTCTGATGGTGCTACGTTAGTTACCTGTAGCTGATATGTTGGTTGTCTGATGTTGCTAGCTTAGTTGTCTTTTTGCATCTAGGTTAGTTGTCTGATGCTGCTATGTTAATTGTCTGATGTTGCTAGGTTAGTTGTCCTCTGCTGCTATGTTAGTTGTCTGATGTTGCTCGGTTAGTTGTGTGATGCTGCTAGGTTAGTTGTCTGATGTTGCTAGGTTAGTTTTCTTCTGCTGCTATTTTAGATTTCTGATGTTGCTAAGTTAGTTATCTGTAGCTGCTATGTTAGTTGTCTGATGTTGCTAGGTTAGTTGTCCTCTGCTGCTAGGTTAGTTGTCTGATGTTGCTATGTTAGTTGTGTGATGTTGCTAGGTTAGTTGTCTTATGCAGCTATGTTAGTTGTCTGATGTTGCTAGGTTAGTTGTCTAATGTTGCTAGGTTAGTTCTCTTCTGCTGCTATGTTAGTTGTCTTCTGCTGCTAGGTTAGTTTCTTTCTGCTGCTATGTTAGTTTTCTGATGTTGCTATGTTATTTACCTGTAGCTGCTAGGTTAGTTGTCTTCTACTGCTATGTCAGTTGTCTTCTGCTGCTA